AAAGAGTGTGCATAGCTGGGAGATTTATACCCTAACAAATGACACCCACTGCGGGGAACATCAGCTGACCATTTCTAATAATTTACATAATGGACAGCTCTTGGGCTGCATGTTGAAAAGCTGTTTTTAACTCCTAAATAAGGGATGTCAAACATTCGGCCTGTGGACCAGATCCAGCCCCCACAGGGCTTATATGTGGCCTGAACGCAACTGGCTGTCATCTGCTTCCTTCTCCCTTTCTCTTGCTTCCTTCTGCAACACAGCTTGCTTTGCCAGGCTCTCTCAATTGCACAGGAGCTATAGAGCAAAGCCTCTCTTGCCTCCATTGGCTGAGGCTTCTCCTCCCTTGGGGGACGGATGGAAAGAGTAAGAGCTTGCTTTGCCCTCTATCAATCATACAGTAGAGCTACTGAACCAAGCCTCTCTTCCCTCCATTAGCTGAGGCTCCTTCCCCTCCTTGTCCCCTGAGAGAGCTTACTTTGCCCAGGTCCTTCGATCACATGGGAGAAATAGAAAGCACCTCTAAGACCAACAAAAGTTTTATTCAGGGTATGAGCTTTTTGCCTTGCTACAGAGAAAGAGCATGTGTGTTTTGTTGGGCTTGTTTTGTTAGGGCTCTCTTGGGTGCAACTGGGTTCCCCTCCTCCTTTTCATTGTATTCATACCCTCATGATCCAATCTTTCTCAGTAGAAAAGTAATGTGAACTATTTAGATGAGGAAGGACAACAAGCCAGTGAGGTGGATTAGGCCAAGAGTGTGTGTCCAGACCAAGTTCATTCAGCACATTTCCTTTGTAGATTGAGGATTTTGAACTTAGACTTCCCAGATAGTAGACTGATACTGACCAGTATACATGGCTCTCTGTCTATTCTTGCACTGCCTCATAGGAGTTAAAGTTATTTCTCTGGGGAAAGCTATAAGTTCTGTAGACAAACACATAGCCCTCAGTCTATGTCATGGTGCCTTCACATGTTCTTGACCAGCACATGAAGCAACTTATGCACAAAAGCTCCCAATGCTGAGTCATTTCAGTAATGAATGCCAATAAATCAAAAGTAGGTTTGCAACTTACAGATACACACCTGAACAACACATTCAAGATTGCTGCAGCACAGACATTGTGTCCAGATTTTGATGCAATAATTCAGAGCAAGAGGTGTCAGTTATCAGAGACTGTTAGATAAACAAAACATTTCAAGAGTGCTGATGTTTTAAGCACGTTTTAAGTTTTAAAAAAATCTTAAATTGTGTTCATCTGTGTCCTTTATAAAGTTTATATCTCCGCTACCTGGCATTGCATTTGGTTACACATGTAGCCTGGCCCAACAAGGTCTCATTTAGGTCAGATCCAGCCCTCACAATGAATGAGTTCGACACCCTTGCCCTAAACACTGGGCAACAGTCATCAATATCTGCTGTCTGTCAAGAGAATTCTAAAGTGATGAGACCGAACTTTCTCTAATCAAAGGCACTTTACAAAGCTTAGAAACTGTGCAATATAAAATGTAACCTCTTATTGACTGGGAAATGGAGTGGGGAAATAAATGGTTTTCCCGGGAGATGAAAGTAAACCGAGAGAGTGTGTATGACTGGCTCCAGATCACCCACCAGCCTTCTGTGGTAGAGAGAAAAAGAGGAACTTGGGCAGCCTTTCCAAGGGCACCACCTGTAGGAGGAAGAATTTTCTTAGCAACAGAAATGTTTGGACATTGAGAATCAGAGCTTTTCAGATATATTTCTTTCTCCATTAAACGAAGTCCCTTCTGCTTTTCCACGCTCTTAACCTGTTATTTTGATCCTGTGTGCTCACTTCCCTCAGTATTTCTAGATTTTTAGTTTAATTTCTTTTCAAGTATAGATGCAGATGGGAACGTACACAGATACTTTCTTTCTCTTTTTAAAGTAGGTATAAATTACTGATGTAGATTACTGACAGAGTTTGGGGAATAGTAGGTACAAATGACTGTCCTGCTATAACAGTAGAAAAGAAGAAGAGTCCAGTAGCACCTTAAAGACTAACAAGATTTCTGGCAGAGTATGAGCTTTCATGAGTCATTACTCACTTCTTCAGACTCATGAAAGCTCCTACCCTGCCACAAATTTTGTTAGTCTTTAAGGTGCTACTGGACTCTTCCTCTTTTCTACAGCTACAGACAGACTAACATAGCTACCGTGTCTCCTGCTATAACTGTGTAAACCTTCCAGTTCGAAGGTTAGTTTTTGATATACAAAATACTAAGTTTTTGTTTGTTTTTGCTTTTTGCTTTCTTAGGTACTTATACCTGTTATTCTCTGAAGATGATCTTCTTCCATTTGAACACTGGGTCTTTAACACTGAGGCACACCCTCTGCCAGTTCTCTCAAGAGAAGACGAAGAAAAAGGAAAAAGGAAATAGATAAAATAATCATAGTTGGGGGCACGATGTAGATTTATTAAAATCTAGGTAACTTTTTGAGTTCTGAATCAGTTTTTGGGGTTTTTTGCAGTCTAATGTTTACCCATATACTATTTATCAGGGGACCTAAATACACATTAATTATAATTAATCTTATTTATGTTCTGATGGGGTTAAGTGATTTGTCATCTCTGTATTTTGTTAGGCTTCAGTGTACATCAGGCCAAATAGAATAGAGAGGTTAGCATGTTACTTATTTTCAGTTTTATTTTTGACTGCAAAATCTTTCCTCCTCTGTGAGGAGATGTCTGCTTTAAGCTGTAATACTTTGCTGTGTTGCAAAAAGCCATAAAGAATTAAGTATGAAGAGCTTTTTTCTTTTTTCTTTTATTATTTTTTTATGTGGTTTGTCTGATCACTAGAGACAAATCTCCTAACTGTGACAGCCTCTTCTTATGCGGGTCTATTGTTAATTGGTAATTTGAATACTTAAGAAGGTGTACTGTTCAGGAAAATTGCAGAAGAAATATTTTTGACTCATCTGCAGTCACTATTATATTAAACTGCAGCTTGTATTGAAATGGACTTGGCAAAGCCTGCATTTTGAAACCCACTTTCAATTTTGATGTAGATCATAACTGCACATTACCAGCAGACAGATTTGATATCCACTTTTTTAGTTCCTGTACTTTTAATTTTACAAGTACCCACCAAAACAAAACCATGGAAACTGACTTTGGCCATGCCCTTATCTATAAATTCAGTGAACCTGCTGTTTCCTCAGTGCAAATGGAGTTCTGGTAGAAGGCATGAATCATTTCCCTGTTAAATCTTTGATTCTGTATTGTGATATGGGTTGGTGCGTGAAATCCTCTGTGCATTTGTGCCTTTATCCTGTTTAGAGATTGGAAGAGGCTAGTTCCTTAAGACTGTTGCCATTTAAAACATTCCATTTAGCACTATGAGGGACTCAATAGATTTCAGAAATAATTCTGTGAAAATGGGAAGAGCATAATATTTCAAAAGTACCATGCTTCAGACATTCGTTCAATTTTATTTACTTTTGAGAGGTGGAAGCTACTGCTTTAAATGCTTTGCTTTATATTTTAAAAAATCTATTTTCTGTGTCCTCACTAATCAGAATAACAGCAATGGTAAAGCTATATTTTGATAGGAAATCTGTTTACCAGACTGCTCAAGGTTAAAATGAGGGAAGGCACCAGGCCTTTTCATCATTAGGATGCCTTCTGGGAGCAAAACATTTTGAATGAACAATGTTAGACATACAATGATCTACTGTGATCAGTCATTTCTAACAGCTAACTTCCCTGATACAAAGCAGAATGGAAATAGACCATGTTGCTAGAAAGACCATTAAGGTTTTCTGCTTTCATGCTGTTTTTTTACCCTATATGGATTTGTATTTTCTGATCTATATTTAATCTGATCTCCTATTGTATGTATATACGTATGCCAATAAAGGCTTGTCAAAGTAAGTTGCTAGAAAGGTAAATTTTCCAGAAGTATTGGATGTATCAAGGAAACCATGTGGTTTTTGGAGGGAGACGTATTAAAGCAGTGTGTAGTTTAGCTGCATCTGAAACTAAACTTTGGTCAGCCAGTCCTAAAAGATCATTTGTACCTCCTCCGTCAGTACACACAGCACTATTCATTGCATCGCTAGCCCTCCCGAAAGGAAAGTAGAACAGGTCTACCTATCAGTACTGCTTATTTGTTGCAATTTTATTTACACTATTAAATGTGAGGTCTTAGGTTTGAGTCAGTATAGGTAATGGCATGGTTGAAAGATTCTTGAAACAATACACAAAATTAGTTATCACTAGACAGACTGATTATACATAGTCTGCATCCATTTATGTGCAGATGAACATCTTTGCAGTGTGTCACACTGGATTATGGTAGCTTTTGCATACCACATGCTTCATACTGCAGTGCTGTCACAGCCTCTTGGATCCACTTGTGAAGGCTAGTGGTCATGGTCTTAATGCTGGCGCTCTTAAACATGAGTTTGCAATCTGAATGAGTGCACATAGGCAATAACTTTCCTTCTTCCATAATTTCATCCATTTGCTTTTCTGTATCTCTCCTTATCAAATCACATAGCTTATGCTCACCCTAAACTGAGTATGGTGTAGGTACACTGTGAGTTATACATATGGATTACAAAAATCAATATAATGACGTTATTAATGGAATTTTGAAAATTCAGACATTTTTCTGTAATGTACACTTTTACACTTACGTTCTTTCCTAGAAACTTTTTATTACAAAATTGTTTGAAAGCATGATGGGCAGAAAAAACAATAATGTTGTAAATGTTGATCTAAGCATTCTTTCACTGTTCCTTCTGAGATGAGAAATATTTCTTAATACTTCAGCAAAATACTTAATTTTTCCATTTGGAGACGTCAGGGAAAGCTTGGTTTCTAGTTTTCCAAATTTCTAGATTTGACTGGAAAAAGTGAGCATAATTCAAATGTAACTTCCTTTATGCCCATGAATGACTCCTCTTTAACAATTACTTTCTCTTAGATGATAATGTTTAACAGTTCATGGTCTGTCATATGTTTCTCAGCCTATGACAAGCAGCATTGCTATTTATAAATGTTAGAATTAATTTCAAAATGAAATTAAATGTCCCAAATTTTGAAGAGGCAGATCTGCAATAGACGTCCAGGAAGGATAGGGTTGTAAAGGTATACTGCTGCCCAGGCATTCCCATCTTGTCACTGGGAAGAATTCTATCTCTTGATAGTTTCAAAACTGCACTTAAATTCATGTTGCAAAAGTACATATAAGAAATTACCCTGGGTTAATCATTGTGCAGAGCTGTTGGCTGAGAAGCCACAAGTATCATGGTGTCTTAATTTTAGAATATTGCAATCTGTGTAACAGGTTTAATATGATAAAACACACATAAAACACACATGCCCATTTCCTAAGCTTTTTCTTGAAGAACTACCCTTACATTCTGTTGGAACTGCCACTTACGTTAGAGTTCATGATATCATGATTTATCTCTCTCTTCCAAACTGTTTCCACCACAGAAGCATGGTAACATTCCTGCCAGTACTACCTGACGGCTCCATGCAGCAGCCATTCTTTTCCCTGATTCAGCCCATCATCTACACAGATAAGCATTAACACTGCAATCCTAAACAGAATTACATTCTTCTAAATTCACTGAAGTCAATGGGCTTAGAAGGGTGTAACTTTGTTCAGGATGGCACTGTAAGTATTCTAAGCTATATGTGGTATCTTGAATAAAAGTTTGCAACTATTTTTATTCATAAATCGAAAACATTTTATTCCTTTTTGGGGGGGAGTCTGTATATCCCCACTATACTGGGTACATATGCAGAATCCATCTTTGCTGTGTTCAGTGTACAGAATTAAGTGTTCCTGATTTCACATAAAATCCACAATCAGAAAATATTTTTTTAATTCACAGTATACTCTGAGAATTTTTGAGAGACTGCACATTGAGCTTGAATATCCTGTGTAGAAATGCTGGATTTCAGGCAGCTGAATTGAGAGAATGTTCATATGTATAGTACTGTCAAATATATGTGTATGTATATTATTACTGACAGCTAAACATCCTTCAGCTCAAATTGTAAATGGCTTACCAGTTGCCAGGGACCTGATAATACTCATGGGTGTAAATTGGCTTTTTTTGCACATATTCATTTTTTTTCACTGCTACTTGGGATTTGTGCTGCGGGAGGTAGCAAGGCAGTTCCTTTGGATAGAATTGATTGGTTTGTTCAGGAGGCAAGGCCTTTTAGCAGGTGGTCAGGCTACTAATTTGCTTTATTTTTTAAGGTCACAATTACATGAACTTTACATTACCTGAGCTCGGGGGGAGCATGTGAAATCCCTGGACACTTTTTTTTTTTTTTTTTGGCCATTCAGCCTCTGTCTAAGTTCGAACTCTATTTTCCATTCCAATGTATTTGAAAAAGTGTGCATGCACACAAAAGCTCATACCTTGAACAAACCTTTGTTGGTCTTAAAGGTGCCACTGGACTCTCAGTTTGTTTCCCTGGACACACTGATTGCTTGAATCACGATTTGCAGGCGCCAAGAACAATTCTGTAAATTACATAAACATGTAAAAAGTTCAAGTCAGTTTCAGCAATGAATGAGCATGTGCCAGCATGGCGCTATGCATCCTTATGCCTTGAGGAATCCAGAACATTCTTCCGTCAGCTCAGAACATTCTCTATTTTAAATTATGAGCAGAAGTCCATTTTTAGGGGCAAGGCAACTAATTTTAAAATAAAGTCTAGTATTGCAGCCTGAATGCATATGTGTGTCACGTCCATTATTTTTAAACTTCAGCACTGTCACTATTTGGTGAAAACTGTACTTTATTTCAGCCTGAAATGGGGAATATCTACACCTAAAAGCATTTGTTCCCAAAAATGTACTGACCCTATAGAAGCAAGGGAAAATATTTGAGGTATGTTTAGCATTTAGTATTGCCCGAAATGTGGCTTCCCCCCCCCCCCACCGCCTTCTTTATTTTGCCATGCCTCCAGTGTGTGCTCCCATCAGGCTTCGCTTTTGCCATTATGGGTGAGATTGGCCCACTGTGCAAAATGTTTACCATGCTCCTGTGGTGTATTTCTGCCTATCAATATAAATGAAGTAAGTCTAGAAATAAATGGGAATTGCACTTGCAGATTTTTGTGAATTCCTACTACTTCATCAGGCTAATCCTTTGTCTTTATGGAATATTGTCATCCTGGGGACTTTCTCATGGGCGTTATAGTTTGAAAGAGCACAAAAATTTCTATGGTTCTGTAACTGCTATGGTAAATCAGGTTGTATGTACAAGCTGCACTATAAAGTACTTTTTTGTAAAGTGATGTAAGTAGACAAGAAGATTGTATAACCTGTAGAACTGCAAAATGTAAGAGAAACATGTTTTATATGTTTAAAAACATTAATGTTGTGTGACCAACACAAAAAAACACCAAAGTATAAACTTCAGAATGATTACCATTTCAAATTTAAGTCTACAATCCTGAAATTATTTACAGTGGTGTAAATAACTTGAGGATGACCTTAGTATTAACAATAGCCTCAAACCC